CCGTGAGAATAGGTGAATTTTAAAATTATTACTAATAAAGGCGAAATAGTTACATTTCAATTGATTTATTTGGGGTTTTTGTTGTGGTAAAATACACATAACATAAAATTTACCATCTTAACCATTTGTAAGAGTACAATTCAATGGCATTGAGTACATTCACAATGTTGTGCAACCATCACCACTATTCATTTCCAGAACTTTTTCATCATTCTAAACAGCAACTGTACTGTACTCATTAAATAACAACTCCACATTTCCTCCCCCCGTCAGCCCCTAGTAACCTCTATTATACTTCCTATCTCTACGAACTTGCCTATTCTAGGTCCCTTAAATAAATGGAATCAGACTTGTTTGTCCATTTGTGTCTGACTCATTTCACTTAGCATAACATTTTCAAGGTTCATCCATGCTGTAAGCATGTATCAGTACTTCATTGCTTTTTATTGCCAAATAATATTCCATCGTATGGATATGCCACGTTTGTTTATCCATTCATCTGTGGATGGATATTTAGGTTGTTTCTACATTTTGGCTATTGTGAACAATGCTACAACAAATATTTGTGTAGAAGTTCTTGTACAGATCTATGTTTTTAATTTTCTGGGGTATATGCCTAGGAGAGGAATTGCTGGGTGATAGAGTAACTCTATGCTTAATTTTTGGGGAACTGCCAGACTGTTCCCAAAGCAGCTGCATCATTTTATATTCCCACCAGAAGTGTGTGAGGCTTCCAATTTCTCTATATCCTCATCAACACTTGTTACTATCTGTTTTTCTTCTTTAATTCTGGTCTTTCTACTGGACGTGAAGTGGAATATCACGTGGTTTTGATTTGCATTTCCCTGATGTCTAATGAAGTTGAGCATCTTTTCATGTACTTATTGGCCAGTTGTTTATCCTCTTTATAATAACTATTTAATGTCTTTGTCTATTAATTCTAAAATCTTTATCAGTTCTGGTTTCGTTTTGATTGATTCATTCATTAAGGGATATATTTTCTTGCTTCTTTGCATGTCTGATAACTTTTGTTTAGCTGCCAGACATTGTGAATTTTATTTCTTGGGTTCTGGATATTCTTAAAGCTTTGTTCTGGGACACAGTTAAGTTACTTGAAAACCATTTGGTCATCCTGGGTTTTGAGTCTTGCTCTTTTTTTTTTTTTAATTTTTAAAAAATTGAGATACAATTCACATATAACATTATATTCGTTTGAGGTGTACAACATAATGATTGGATATTTATATATATTGCAAAACGGTCACCACAATAAGTCTAGTTAATATCCATCACAACACATAGTTAAAAATGTATTCTTCTTGTAATGAGAACTTTTAAGATTTACTCTCTTAGCAACTTTCAAATATATAATACAGTATTATTAACTAGTCACCAGGCTGTACCTTACATCATCAGGTCTTCTGGCCACCTTTACCCATTTTGCTCACCCACTCCCTGTCCTGCCTCTAGCAACCACCAATCTGTTGCCTGAATCTATGAGTTCAGTTTTGTTTTTCGCTTTTTTTTAGATTCCACATATAAGTGAGACCATACAGTATTTGTCTTTCTCTGTCTGACTTATTTCACCCAGCATAATGCCCTTAAGGTCCATCTATGTTGTTGCAAATGGCAAGATTTCCTTCTTTTTCACGGCTGAATAATATTCCTCTGCGTGTGTGTGTGTTTTCTTTATCTATTCATCCGTCTATGGATAGTTAAGTTGCTTCCATGTCTTGGCTGTTGTAAATAATGCTGCAATGAACACAGGGGTGCATACATCTTTTTGAGTTAGTGTTTTCATTTCCTTCAGATAAATACCCAGAAGTGGAACTGCTGGACCATATGGCAGTTCTACTTTTAATTTTCTGAGGAACCTCCACACTGTTTTCCATAGTGGCTGCATGAATTTACATTCCCACCAACAGCGCACAGGGTTCCCTTTTCTCCACATTCTCGCCAACACTTGTTATTTCCTGTCTTTTTGATAATAGCCATTCTGACAGGGGTGAGGTGCTATCTCACTGTGGTTTTGATCTGCATTTCCCTAATGATTAGTGAGGTTGAGCACCTTTTCATGAACCTGGGTCTTGCTTTTAAGATTTGTTGGGTGGGAACAGCAGAGCTCAGTCTACGGCTAATTGTTCTCCACATCTGATGCAAGACCTTTCTGAGTACTCTACCCCATGAATCCTGAGTTTCTTCCAGTCTGTCTGGTGGGAACAGGTACTATTTCCAGTTCTGTGAGAGCTTCGGGTACTGTTCCCTCTAACCCTTCCAGGTGGTTTCTTACCAGCCTCAGGCAGTTTCCTCACATGCATATGCTGATCAGTACTCAGCTGAATATTGGCGGGGGACTCTCTTCACTTCTCTCAGGTTCTCTTTCTCTACTTTCAAACACTCTGTCATGACAATTCTAGCTACCTTGGCCTCTCTGGACTCTCGGCTCCATTTCCTCAAGTCAGCAAGTCTGCTGGGTTCTGCCTGCACTCTGTCTCCCTGCACCACAGCCTTGTAACTCTCTCAAGGCAGCAAACTGGGGCGCTCGTAAGACTCCCCTTGTTTCCTGTCTCTCAGAGATCACTGTCCTTCTTTGCGTGTTATACTCGCAAAACATCATTTATCTCATTTGTCTGTTTTTTGGTTGTTTCAGGCAGGAGGGTAAATCTGGCCCTCCAAATTGGCTGGAAGTGAATTCACTGAGTTTTCTCCTGGGTATGAGTCACTTGTTCCCACTTCTTCCTGTATGCAGTAATATTTGATTAGATGCTAGAAATCGTGAACCTTACATTGTTGAATTCTGGATTTGTCATATTTTTTCAATGAATGTTGGAACTTCTCTCTAGTGTCCTCATGTCCTCAGCCTCCCTGAACTCTGATCCCTGTCTCCCCTCAACTCAGCAAGACTGCCAGGCTCTGTCTGGGTTCCCCTCCCTTCACTGCAGTTCAGAAATTGCCTCCAGGCAGAAGGCCCGGGATGGTAGCACTCATGCCATTTGTTATCTTTCTCTTACGGATCAAGTCCTGCGCTGCCTGTTCTGTCAGAAAAGAGTTATTTCATGTATTGTGCCCAGTTTTCTAGTTGTTGCAGCAGGAGGGTAATTCTGGCCCCTTTTATTCGCTTATGGCCACAAGTGAAAATTTCTACTTATTTTCAAATCTGCTGGATCATTTTGATTAGTGTGTTGTTTTTCGTTCATTTTTTTCTAAAAGATTTTATTTTCCTTTTTTTCCCCAAAGCCCCCTGGTACATAGTTGTATATTTTAGTTTTGGGTCCTTCTAGTTGTGGCATATGGGATGCCGCCCCAGCATGGCTTGATGAGCAGTGCCATGTCCGCGCCCAGGATGTGAACTGGCGAAACAGTGGGCCACCAAAGCAGAGCACGCAAACTTAACCACTTGGCCATGGGGCCAGGCCCATGTTCATTCATTTTTACAATTCTTTTCATTTCTATAAACATTTCACACCTACTTAGTCTATAATCTACTATCTAAAGTCCTCGGGGTCTAAATCTGTTGTTTGTTGTTTCTCTTCATTCTCACTCATGGTGACTGACTTCCCTGAGTGGCTTGTGATTTTTTTCTTTTAATGAGCACATATTTAGTTGATATTAATCTGCAAAAAACCTGAGCACCTACATTTTGGATATTTCCCTTCAAAGATGATTAGCATACGACTCTGCGAGGAGCCAGGGTGTGCTGCTGACCTAGTATGGAGCTTGTGTAGGCCCCTTTTAGGGTCCTCTTCTCAAGGATTCTTCAGGTCAGCTGTCTCTCTCTCCCCTTCCTTAATAATGTTACCAAGATATGCCCTCAAGGAGGGCCCTGCCTTTCAGACGTGCTGACTGCTCACCACTCTAGTTTCAGCTGTCCTTGGTCCTGTGGATGGTTCCCCTTCTTTCTGCAACTAGAGCAGAGAGGCCCCTTGCAGTACTGCGTGCACCATGCTGCCAGAAGAACAAACCTGGATTTCCTATTTCATCTTCTGTTGGTGCCCTAAACACATCACCCAAACTTGGAGATGCTACTTGCCCTTGGGTTTCAATAATAACCTTTATTTGCAAGACCTTTAAATCTATACTTCCAACTTTAACATTTCTCCCATGCTTTCAATCCCACATTCCTGACTGCTTATTGGACACATGCATCTGGTGGACATTCGTATGATTTAGACTCAACATATCCACATCAAAATACAACATCCTTCTGTCCTGCCTCCACATGTCCAAGAATTTTTCCTTCCATTCACAAACCTCAAAGATTTCCAGTTAGAAGACATTTTAAGGACTCATTTTACAACTGAGGACCAAGTGTATTAAATTAATTTCTCTATAATATCACTTTCATTATGTTCCTTCCTGTTCAAAAAACTTCAGTGCTTTCCCTTTTGCCCAACCCTTCAGACACTTGCAGATCCTATGGTCAGAGTATTCTATTTCGTTAGTCCCTCCGCTGCTGTGGCTGCAATAATCTTTCAAACAAAGTCTCTCCTTACAAAACAAGTAAAAAACAAAACAAAACAAAACTTCAATGGTCTCCCAATATTCACAAGATTGTGGTTTGGCATTTAAGGGTTATCAGAATCTAGTTTTATAGTCCACTGTTCCCATATACGAAGCCTCTGTTGCAGGCAAGTGAGTCTGCACCTCCAAATTTTACTCTTCCTTACATCACTCAGCCTAGAACACTCTTCTCTTCATCCAGTTCCATTAAAATTCTACTTCTCCCTCAAAATACAGCTTAAATACAAATTCCTTCGCTAGTCTCATAAAACTGAATTCATCCATCTGAACTTTTTGGCATTTGTGATCTGTAAATTCATAGAACACAATAAATTCTGCTTTGTACTGTGAATATTTTTCCTTCTATTTTATGTTCCTTTGGAGTTTCCCCAGGCAGAGAGCTCCTGTTCAGTGTTCCCCACAATGCTTAGCACAGTGCCTGGCTCTTGGAAGCTCAGTGAAGGTGGCTGAGAGCAGATGTGAACTTAAAAGTTTCTTACCTTGGTGATGTCTGTGTGATCTTTGAGCCCGTTGGTCATGCACCAATATCGCCACACATTCAGGGCATACCGTGTGGCTTTGGTAGTATTTGGGCTTACTGCACTGGTACACAGATCATTCAAGTCATCATTAATATTAAACACAGGAAATTTGTTGAGCTTAGTAGAATAAGCTAGAAACAAAAACAATAAAAGGCATTAAAATAATTTACTATCCCCTGCTTTAGAGAATTACATCTTGGGATCACATTAAATAACAGAAAACTCCTAAGAGATAACGCTTTAAAAAATAGAATTTCTATCAAGTATACATATATTCGAATAAATAAAGTAAGAAACAATATTTCTAGCATGAAATCAATGCAGTAACCTTGCATTTAATCCCAACAATTTTGCCATCTTTACTAACTGAGACACTTATGTAGGCATTCCAATAACAGAAGGAAAAAAAATGAATGCAGAAAAACACAGAATGTTCTAGCTAAAATTTTCACTGGAAATAAAAACAGCATTTCTATTAACAGCAACAAAACTATAGAAAGAAAGAAGGGAAGACAAGTTACATATCCTTTCTCTCTACTCTTAGCAGATGAAGAGCTGTTATTTCTATGTAATACATAGTCTCAAATGTCTTATGTGTCATCCAGAGCAGGCTTGAATTAAATGGTATTAGCATATTTCTTTAACTCTTTTCACAAATTAATAAAGAGAGAGAGATTTAAACCTTGACTCCACAACCCATCAGCTAGCTTAGAATCAGAATGGAAGGTCAAGCAAGAATCATATTAGAGGAAAGAGGAGGAATGCTCCAGAGAGGCTCACATCTTTTGAAAGAAGAGGGAACAGATTTTATTTTCATTTATTTATTTTTGTGTGTGTGTGGGTATATGCTTTTTTATTTTTTTTTAATTTATTTTATTGAGGTCGTATTGGTTTACAAGAGAGGGAACATTCAAAATTGCAATTGCCAAATTACTTCAGATGAAGACTGGTCTTCCTCAATGTGTCTATTTTAAGTACTGGTTGCCAAAGAGATAACCAAGTCCATAATCATTAGCTGGCCTTTCTTGATACTCTGTGATCTACTGAAAAACAGCTTAAACTGTTCAAATTGTTGTCTTTGGATAGAAGAAAAAAATCTAGGTAGACCACCTCAAAGTAAACAAGGCCAACCTGTACTTTATCTAATGGTTCTGACCCTCTCTGGAATGTTTCTGTATCAAACAAGGCACTAAAAGGCTTGGAAATAGCAAAACGAACAGTTAACATAATTACCACGGTGATCTGCACATCGGTTTCACTTTACCTAAACTTCACCCCTCCTGGCTCCCACTGAGGAACTCCACACCACAGCCTGCTCTTGTCCCCAGCATCCACCTGCGTCCAGGACACCCACACCACACCTTCCCCACACTGGGCCTGAGAAACCTCCCCGTGGTCTTTGTGCCAATCAAAACAGTGTCTGTTTTTCAATTCCACTTCCAATTCCAAACTCACTTCTACATAATCTTCCCTCACACTAACCCAGCTCTCTCACCCTGTCCTTCCGTATGTGTCTCACATTTGCTTTATCCTTCCTTAGAACTGTGATCTAATTGTGTCCACAAGACCTTCTGCATTGGTCTGACTATGTCTTCACCCTTCAAGCCTGCTGTTGAACTGTGGAACACACAATCTGCTTTAATAAATGCTTACAGCCAGAGAGGCATACACAGTGCTAGAAACGCTATCTGAAGCAACTGAGTCACGTAGGTATACTCCTCTCACCACCCTTATGAAGTGAGATAACACGTATTATTTCTGGGACTTGCTTCATATTAATGAAAGGATTCTAGTATAAAATTTATTATTACATCTAGCACAAATTGAATGCTTACTATATGCCAAGAGTTATATAAATTATCTGTAATCTCTGAGCAACCCTGTTGTTATACAGATAAGGAAACTGAACCTCAGACATTTAATAACTTCATATGTTACTCATCCAATATTTCCTGAGGTACCTTCTCTGTGCCAGGCACTGTGCTGTCCCAAGTCACAGAGTTAGCAAGGATTAGAGCCAGGCTTTGGACCTGGGTCCCACTGACTCTATGATCTGGCCACTACACCAAAGGAATCATGGTCCCACAGGGATAAAGTGTTCGGTAAAGAATGCAATTTAGATATCAGTCTCTCATGCTTATCAAAAATATTCTGGCCCCCCAAATTCACTCGGATTAACCTTCAGTGAGGAGAACTCAGTCTGATTTACTTAGACAACCACTATACTTTCATCAATTTTTTTTAATAACAAAACAAAAAATGATTTATTTACAACACAGCCCAGTGCCCATCACTTCAATACAGCATAGGAGCAGAAAAGAGTCACACTGCGAGATAGGAGGACTGAGTTTAATTAACACGTTAAACAATTACATGGCCTTAAGTAAGTTCATTTTTATCACAGGACAGAGATTGTACGCTGAAAATGGAAACCAAAGACTAGTATACAGAGAAACAGGTGAAGAACGCTTGCATGCTTACATAATGGGAAAGAAATTGTGTGAGAATGATTAAATGACATAAACGGTTCCTTCATGACTGTATTTAAAGATTAATATATGTACTTAAACTGCTTTTTAAAATTTTTGAGTAGAAGTTGTAGTGTTACGGTGCTGAGGGAATTTTTAGGAGACTATATTGATGGAGAAACAAACAAAAGAGTTTATTCTGGATAGAGAAAAAGAGGGGACTACTAACGAAGGATTTGAATTTCTTTTCCACTAGAAAGCAGGCAAACTCCAAGCTCAAAGTTAGGCACATCTGGCTGCCGGCGTGACGCCAGGGTCACAGTAGTGTAATCTAAGGATGGCCAGATCTGAACTCAAAAGATGATCCTGCTCTCCATCCATAGCTACCGATTACAGCATTTACAGCACAGGTGTGGCAGGCACAGTGTGAAGTGTGGGAAACCTGCTGTGGAAGGCTACTCGGGGTCAGAGAGAGAAAGGGAGGCATTGCTTCATGTAACTCTGGGCAGCCCCATTAGGCAGAGAGGGAACAAAGAAAAGCAGCTACAAAAAGCACGAATGCCTGAATGCACAGCATCTCTCAGGTAACGCCTTCCCTGTGTCTACATTTGAGAGTTCCCCACTTCCCAGCTTGTTTCCAGCTTACACATCCTGGAGGGAAGCCTATCCACGGCACTCGCTGCAGCAGGGCGAAGTCCGCTCGCAGAACCCCGTGCTCAGCTATTACCTACAAAAGAGAGCTCTGTCCAGATTCAAACGGGAACCTCTAACAATGTCTAAGAAAATCCCTGTAAGCTACCAATAATGATAGATCTAGACTTTCATTTTAAAAGGTGAGCACACAAACACGCATCACCTGGCAATTGGGAAAAACAATAGCAGGAAAGTTACCAAGTTACACAAGCAGAGCAATTAATTCCAGCCCCTACCCCCTCCTGCCCACAGAGTTAATTCAGAAAACGGATGAAAAAGTTAAAAGATCACAAATACATCATCACACAGATTTGGGAAGATAACGCATTCTTAAAACAAGAACAGCTTTCACTGGAAAAGAAAAAATAGGAGAACAAGAAACATCCTTGACATTTGAAATGATTGAAGAAACATATTTTAAAAATACCATAGAAGAGCTGAGTATTTAGAAAGAGCATGGCTAAAAGACAAATTAGTGATCTGGAAGGAATTTTCCCTGAAGGGCAGGAAAAGTAATAAAAATTTTAAAATTAGGAGGGAGAAGTTAAGAAGCATAGAAGACAGATTCAAGAGATATAAAGCCCATCTTATAAGAATGCAAAAGAAAAAATTTTAAGAGGATAGGATAAAATAAATAACCAAAGAAATAATATATGAAAAGTTCCATTAATCAAAGAAAGATTTTAATCTCTAGGGTGTTAAGGTTCATGAACTATCAAATAGACAAACTGAAAGAAGACACACATATAAACATATCTTGGCGAAATTTCCAAAGTCTATGAACCAAAAGAGAATTCCACGATCTTTCTGGTAGGGGAGAAAAGCCATCAACATAGTAACAAGAATCAGATTTCCCACTTGTGACATCAAACACTAAAAAATAATGACTCAGTCTTCTCCAAGTTGTGAGGGAAAAGGACTATAAATGAAGAATTCTATTACTTAACTAAAGAATCATTCAAGTGCTAGGGCAAAATAAAGGCTTTTTTTTTTTTTCTTTTTCTCCCTAAATCCCCCCAGTAGATAGTTGTATATTTTTCAGTTGTGGGTCCTTCTAGTTGTGGCATGTGGGACGCCGCCTCAACGTGGCCTGACAAGCGGTGCCATGTCCACGCCCAGGATCCAAACTGGGGAAACCCTGGGCCGCAGAAGCAGAGTGCACGAACTTAACCACTCGGCCATGGGGCCAGCCCCAGCATTTTCAATCATGAAAGAAGTAGCATCCAAAAACTCTTACTTGGAAAAAAATATTAGTCATGAACATTTGCCAACAAAATGAAAAATGAATTAAAGAAAGGGGAAGATATCAAGTACAAGATACAGCGAGGAGGACAGAATTTATTTTTAACACTAAATAATGTGGCAATTAAGCTTAACACAATGGTTAAGAAAGGACTGTGAAAAGAGATGAGGCATGATGGGACAAATTCTTGAACCAAAACTCCCCATGATTTCAATAATATATGAGGAAAGAAGAGGGAAGATATAAAAAATGTGATTGAGGCCTCATCCTGTTTGGGAAGGGTAGGGAGCAAAGAGGAAAAAAGAAGAAGAGACTACCAATGTGGTAATTTTTTTATATAAAAAACACGTTTAAATCTGTTAAAAACAAAACATAAGAAAAGCAACCATTAGAATGGAGATAGGATTTTCAAATAAGAGAGTAAATAAAGGAGTATCAGTAGAAAAAGAATTAAACAAAAACAAAACTCCAACATCTGCAATCCACCTGGCAAAATTCAGGACAAGTTAATGAAAGAAATGAAGAATTTACAAAGAAAGCATGATGTATAAAAAACTTAAAATGATTGCCAGAGCACTTCCCCTTAGGGCTATGATCAAGTAGCTAGTATCATACTATCCTTCCTTCTGAGAATAAAGCTAGATAAAATGCACTAGAAAACAACCAAAGTAACTGGAACTCAGCAAAAATCCTGGAAAGAAGGGAAATGCAGAGGTGAGTCCTCCAC